TTGGGACATGGCTGCCCTGGCTGCACCACAATACGCAGCGCGTCACATGCCCCGTCAGTTGCAGGTATTATGACTGTACATTCAAAGAGTGAAAAGATCTGGGTCGTTAGATGAGATGCATACTAATTCCTCTTGAAAGTCTCGGCGATGGTGGCTTCCAATCCACCATAGCATTTTTGTGCAATGGTTCTTCAACTTATGATGATGAATCTTGCTTGGGACTTTTTTTTTCGAGCAAACAGCTTCCTTTCTTTCTTCGTTGGATGTCCTTGATGGCTGGGAGGAGCAGGGAAACGATTGTGAGACGGAGAATTTTGCCTGAACTTATAAGGGAGGAGCTCCGGGGAGGCTGAACAAGCTCGTCCGAATAAAGCTTCTTCCGACCTGCATTCAGGGAAGAATGAGCATGGGTGCCCTACGGTAAACTGTCCCGGAATGTTGGACTATCGCCAAATTTCTCTTGAACGAAAGTTTGTCTCCGCTCCAGTTAATTCTAATGTCATCATTTAGCGTTGAAGACAACGAGATAGAGCTCTTGGAGTCCCACAATGTGGGTGATGACGACATTGAACTCGTCGCAGAATTTGCACCCAATTTTCTCGGCGTAAATGGCTTTCATCAACAGAATAATCACTATGGCTATGGCGCCGTTGCACATGGACCCGAAGAGGAATTGCTCGAAGACCGTGAGCTTTCTTTGACGTTAATCCTAACTTTATTCACGCACAAGTGGGCTAAGCGAGGACATTGGAAGGCAATGGGCACCAGTCGACCGTCAGTACAGTCATGATCCCTGCATACGATACGGCGTCTGACGGAGACATAGCTGGTGGCGGAGTTAGATCAGATTTCTCACCAGTAGTAGCAGTAGCGGACTCAGGATGCCATAACTGACGGAAAAAAGAACGCTCCGGCTGAGCTCCGATGCGCGCCGCGTCAGACGCCCTATCGCTTGCAATTATCATGACTGTGTAGGGCAAATAGCAGAAAAGAATATTGTACCCTTGAGCAGGCGCTGCGTAGCGTCAAGATAATGTCACTAGAGCGTCCCTATTTGTGTTAAAGACACTTTCTGTTGTCGTTTCGAGGCTTGCCTTCTCATGAAATCATGTTTACACTGCTATGAAGCAGTTAGTTAGGGCCCTTATTT